GWSGAAAAATTGGGGCCAATACCCAGCATAGGCTTAAGCTGGAAACCGGGTCCAGCGTCCCATGTCCCGAGAGAACTCTTCCAAAGTTATCTTGAAGCTCAATTAAAATTCTAACAGATTAGCTACCAACTTCCTAAGTTATCTTGAAGCTCAATTAAAATTCTAACAGATTAGCTACCAACTTAAATTCCTTGAGCTATTTACAACGCCCCTACTCAAAATCCTCAGAACATTTGTGAGGAACAAGCCCTCAAGGGCCCTATCAGACATCACATTGTTCTGGGCCAAGGCCCCCAGCAAGCCAAGTGCCCGCCCTAAGTGAAGGCGGGCCTGAATATTTGTCAAAGGCAAAATTCAACATTTCCATATGTGGGTATTCAGGCTCTCGCAGCACCCCAGTTGGTTGGGAAGACGCGTGAGCCTCACATTGCTGCGTCATACAGTTAGCCCAGGCCTTGACAGTTGCGCCTGGGCACACATACACAAAGCAGGGCCGATATATTGGGAATCAGGCCTTCGGTCTTCGCAAAAGCAGTAGTGCCAACGCACCTGCCGGGGAGCCCTGCACAGATGCAGCAAACAGTCCAAGTCCGGAGACTCAGACCGTGCCTAACTGCAAAGGGTCCAAGCCCTCAACTGTAGTCTCGAGCCTGGGCGCAAGGTCTGGGACCCAACCGGAAGCTACTGGAAGCTTCCAGCCAGGACACACGCAGCATCCAGGAGGCTGCCACTTCCACAAAAGGAAGGAAGCAGCCCAGGCCAGGCATTCTGGCCAGCGCTGGCATTGCGGAAGTGCTGCTGCGCTATCGCTTGATGCTGCGCTGCTGCCAAGGGCGCTGACGGGGCGCGAGAGGTGTTGTGGGGCGCTGCAGGGCAGCGGGGCGCTGGCGGCCATAGCCAGGCTGCTGGGCGCCGGGGGGGTACAGCCGATGATCGGGTGGTGTTCAGGGAAGGAGGCGCTGTGTGGGGTAATCAAGGTCTGATTGAGGGTGACGAGATACGTACCTGGTACATGAAGAGAGGTCGGCGATGGTGTTGGCAGTCATGTGCATTGTTCCTCGTGAGTCGAAGTGATCCTGTTGCGTGAACCAGCTGTAGGTAGGATAGTCTGGTAGAGTAGGCTGGGCGCTGAACGCCAGACAGAGCAGAGCGACTTTGGATACTGTGTTGGTGTGGCCTACGGGCTTGAACATTGGCTCATTATTTCATTCAAATTCATTGTATTCCTCTATATGGATGGTTTTCTCAGTGCATTTGTACTCTCTGCTTGGGATACGACTACTTGTTCAGCTGTGTGATTTCGCAACTTGGTTTTATGTATATCCCTCACTCTCATATTCCTTGCAAATTATTCTTTTAAAAATTTATTGCAACTCGAAGATCCTTTAAAATTAATTAATTCTTTTTCGGATTTTTTTCTCCCGGAATACTTTAGAATTAATTGATTCTTTTTTGAAATTTCTTTTTTGAAATCCGACAATACCTTTTAATTAAGTCTTTTTTGTTGATTTTTTTTTAAATCCGAAAATACGTCAAAGTTTAAAGTTAATTAATTCGTTTTTGCAAATTTTTCTTGTCAAATGTATTGCTGAACCCATCAATTATTTTCCAATAAATTCATTTAATCCACGTCGGAGTTAATCTTTTTATCCGGAATTAATTATCTTTTTTTTCAAAATTCTAACATTTTCCTTTTGTAAAATTCATGCAAAATATGATTTAAATATCTTTTTTAAGTTTTTTTCATTTATCAATTATTCTTGAAAATTTCCATTGTTCGGAATCAATTCTTTCCCTTTTTTTTTCCCCTTCATTTTTCAATAAAACTTCCAAAATTCTCTTCATTTTGTAATTAAAAGCCTTCAACCCCCCCCCCCCCCCTCCCCCGCTCTCTGCGGGACACGCAAAACCAAGAACTCTCAGTGCTCCGCTGCTGCAGCTGCCTCCACCTCATCACCGCCCGCTTCTCCAGCAACCGCCACCACCCCGGCCGTTTCCTTCGCGATGGCCAAAGAATCTAGCATCAACATGACCTCCATCAACACCAAGTCCGTCGATAGCCTCCTTCGCAAACTTACTGGCAAACAGGCTGACGCCCAGGAGGCCCTCGCTGACTCTTCCACCCTCTTCTCCCTCATGACCTCCATGAAGGCCACCCTCGACTCCCTCCAAGCGTCCCTCTCCGGCCTTTCCGACCGGATAACCACCGTCGAACAACGACAGGCCTCCCCCACCATCCAGGTCATCACCACCATGGCCCCCTCCTCCACTTTGATGTCCATCACCCTTCCCCCACCCTCCGCCTCCACATCTACATCTACTACCTTCTCCTCCACATCCACCACTCTCTTTGCCAGCATGTCATCCATGTACCAATTTAATCTCCATTACGGACGGACAAATCTTTTTGGAAACAGAACTGTTTTATCGTGGAATCCGACCTGCTATTAATGTAGGATTGTATGTAAGTCGTGTAGGTTCTGCAGCTCAATTGAAAGCTATGAAACAAGTGTGCGGTAGTCTTAAACGGTCATCCCACCTCCCCCCTCGCCCAAGACAACAACCCCCACCGTCACACAGTCGTCGACCGTCCCCCCCCAATCAAAACCTCTCTTGACTTCGTCCACCATCACCTGATTCACCTCCACCCTCCCCACCTATACCCAGATCACTCCCACGCCACAAGCTCTGTATCCCGCTCGTCCACTACTTCCCCCAAACACTCATTCCCACCAACCCCTCTTTCTCACCAAACTCCAACAAGCCTTCTCCCTCCACAACGTTCCCGTCATCCACTGGTTCCCCATCGCCGGCACCAAACTCCTTGACAACGCCGCTCGCTGGTGGTACACAGAAATGTCCAACCGCCATCGTGTTAGTCTTCCACCTCGCTCCTTCCTTGAGTGGGCCACCATGATCACCTCCACCTTTCGTCCAGAGAAAACGGTTGACGACTACGTCGACCAATTCTGTCGGCTCCACCAAAACGAGCCAACCGATCGTTTTGTTCAATATGTCCGCTCGCTTCGCCAGCGCATCCCCATCGACGTCATCAGCAACACCGCATTCATCTCCCGAGTCAGGCGGGTATGCCGCAAGGACCTAGCAGCAGCCCTTGTCCACGAGCCCTCCATGACCCTCGCCGACCTCCTCACTCGTGCCCTCCAAATTGGCCGCCTCCTCTCCCCCTACAAGGCCACACTCACATCGGCCCCTTCCCGCCCTCGCTTCTTTCACAACGTCACCTTCGAAGACACCACCTCCACCGCTTCCTCGGACGAGTTCACAGCCCCTCTCGTTGAGCCCAACACCATCTTCGACTCTTCGTCCCTGGTGTCCCTCAGTTCGGAGGAACTCAACACCATCCAGTTCTTACGTATGGAACGCAAGGACCGCATGGCTCGACCATCTTCCTCCACCCACCCACCCCTTCTCAAGAAACTCACAACCGAGTAACGCGCCTACTTGCAGGAAAACAATGGCTGCTTCCGTTGCCGGCAGCTTGGACACCAGCAAACCAACTGCCTCAACGCCGGCCAGTTCACTCGCCACGTGAGCAAAACCTGCGACATTCATTCCTTCAGCCGCCGTGGGACCTCGCCCCTCCTCAACATGACCTCTGTACCCTTGACCTCAGCGTGCACCTTTCTTCACCGGCACCATCCTCTACCTTGCCAGACGAGATCATCACTGCCTCATGCTCTTCCACCCTCCTCCCCAACCCCTCTTTCGTTACCTTCTTTGATGTTGTTAAGGAACAAGCCCAACACGGCCGGCTTGTTAGACTAGGCCTGGAGCAATGCCCCCTCAACACCATGATCTCCTCTGCTTGTGCCGGAATCGCTCAATTCCAGCTCAAGTTTGTCTTCGTCTCTCTTAGTGCAACTACGATGAAGTTTCATGCCTTCCTTGATATAGGTGTCACTGACAACTTCATCACCGACGCCTGTGTCCGCAAAGCCGGTCTCTCTTCTACTGGCTTCGACTCCCCGATTACTATCCGACTAGGGGACAAAGACTCACCCGTCGTTGTCGATCACATTGTTCCAGAGATCACCATGACTGTAGGTCCTCTTCGCAATCAGATCTCCTTCAAATGCACCTCATGTGCGACATCGTCCTAGGAACCCCTTGGCTCGACCATTACATGCCCTACTCATTCCATTCATCATTCTTCCGCCTTACTACATCTTCTGACACTACTCTTGACATCCCTTACCTTCTTCCTCCTACTACCCCACCCCCCTTCTCCCCTCATCAGTTCCTCCACATGACCTGCCAATATCCCGACTCCGCCTACTATTTCCTCGTCATTGATCGTGAGCGTCCCGAGGACCTGCTTCCAATGGACAAGCCAAACGAAGCCCCTCCTTCCGACCCATGCATCACATCCCTCCTCACGGAGCTCAAGGGCGTCTTTCCCGAGTCCTTGCCCGCCGGTCTACTCCCCGATCGTGGCGTCTCTCACACCATCGATCTGGAACCCGGCCGACACAGCCACACTCCTCCCTGTCGGCCAGCATACCAACTCTCCATCCTCGAGCGTCCGAGGAAATGAAGCGACAACTCAATGAACTCCTTGAAAAAGGATTCATTAAGCCTAGCTCATCACCCTTTGGTACCAGTTGTCCCTTCGTCAAGAAAAACGACACCTCTGAACTCCGCATGTGCACAAACCACCGCGCCTTGAACCGTATCACGATCAAGAACAAGTATCCACTGCCCCTCCATGGAGCCAAATATGTCACCAAGATTGACCTCCGCAGTGGTTTCCATCAGATCCGCATTCACGAAGAAGATACTCATAAGACTGCCTTCCGCTCTCGCTTCGGGCACTACGAGTTCCTTGTGATGCTTTTTGGCCTCACAAATGCCCGAACAACCTTCCAGTCTACTACGAATCACATCTTTCGCGATCTTCTCGAAGTCTGTGTCCTTTTTTATCTTGATGATGTCCTGGTCTCCAGTCCCAATGTTATGGACTCAGCTAGGGCTCGATCCCTGGTCCGTGGGTTACCACCCGCCAGGCTGTTATTTTATTTATGAGTCTCTGATCTCGAGTTCCTGACTGTTGACGCCCTCTGCAGTTGGCGCCCGTTCTCAAATCCCTCCTCTGGCACTTTCGGATTTCGATACTTGGCGCAATCCGGCATTCTGGCGCCCAGGCTCAGACCTTCAATTTTCAGTTCAGCCCCGAGGCAAATTGCACTTCTGCCCTCGGGACACCGGACTCAAGCCGAGTCCGGGCACTCAGTTTTCTGCCTCAGTGCTTGTGCTTCAGTGTGACTTGCTGCGACATTGTGTTCTGAATCCAGCATTGCGACTTTGCCACTTTGCCACTTTGTGTCTGCGTCCGTCGAGTAGTGTCGCGTCCGCGATGAGTTGAGTGAGCGTGTGTGTGTGCTCTCACTCTCCCTCTCTCTCCCAGCCTCTCTGCTCTGCCTCAACCCCGTCACACTGGTATCGTAGCGGCAAATGGCCCTCCCTCCCTCCCTGTTCCTCGTCATCGACATCGCCACCATCGTCATCGTCCCCAGCCATTGTCGTCATCTTCGTCATCGTCATCACCGCCACATCATCGCCTTGTACCTGCCGTCGTCGCGCCACGTCAGCAACTCCTCGTCCTCGTCATCGCTGCCAGTCCCAATGTTATGGACTCAGCTAGGGCTCGATCCCTGGTCCACGGGTTACCACCCGCCAGGCTGTTATTTTATTTCTGAGTCTCTGATCTCCAGTTCCCGACTGTTGACGTCCTCTGCAGTTGGCGCCCGTTCTCAAATCCCTCCTCTGGCACTTTTCGATTTCGATACTTGGCGCAATCCAGCATTCTGGCGCCCAGGCTCAGACCATCGATTTTCAGTTCAGCCCCGAGGCAAATTGCACTTCTGCCCTCAGGACTCAACTTGAGTCCGGTACTTAAGACCGGACTCAAGCCGAGTCCGAGCACTCTGTTTTCTGCCTCAGTGCTTGTGCTTCAGTGTGACTTGCTGCAACATTGTGTTCTGAATCCAGGATTGCGACTTTGCGACTTTGCCACTTTGCCACTTTGTGTCTGCGTCCGTCGAGTAGTGTCGCATCCGCGATGAGTTGAGTGAGTGTGTGTGTGTGCTCTCACTCTCCCTCTCTCTCCTAGCCTCTCTGCTCTGCCTCAACCCCGTCACACTGGTATCGTAGCGGCAAACGGCCCTCCCTCCCTCCCTGTTCCTCGTCATTGACATCGCCACCATCGTCATTGTCCCCAACCATTGTCGTCATCTTCGTAATCGTCATCACTGCGACATCATCGCCTTGTACCTGCCGTCGTCGCGCCACGTCAGCAACTCCTTGTCCTCGTCATCGCTGCCACGTCGTCGATCCCGAAGCCGGCGCGAATGTAAGTGACCGAAAATTTCTTTTCTTTTCTTTCCCCCCCCCTCTTTTTTCTTCTTGTTTCTTCTTCCTTTTCTCCTTCTCCTTCTTCTTCTTTTACCCCTCCGATTCTTTCTCCCTCCCGCCGCCTACCCAATCCCATTTCCCGCCTTCCCGCGACTTTGCAACCCCCGCACCATCTTCTTCCCCCCTCACGCACCGGTTCCCCCTTCGGGCGCTTCTTCCTCCGCGTGCCACCATCTCCCACCTCTGGCGCATCCTCTCTCCCAGCCTCTCTGCTCTGCCTCAGCCCCGTCACACCCACCTTCGAGACTCACCTTCAGCATATCCGCCAGGTCCTCTCTATCCTCAGAGACCAAAAGTTATACGCCAAGCTCGGCAAATGCACTTTCGCTTTCTCAAGCGTAGAATATCTTGGCCACACTGTATTCGCTAATGGTATCCGCAAGGACCCCTCGAAGGTCACCGCCTTTGTCGAGTTTCCCCCACCTACGACTTTGTTGCAGCTTCGTTCCTTCCTCGATTTTGCCAACTACTACCGCCCCTTCATTCGTGACTTCTCCGAAATCTCCTACCCCCTCCACGAGCTTACTCGTAAGAACGAGCCTTTTACATGGAATGACCGCCGTCAAGCTGCCTTCGACCTCCTCAAACAAGTGATTACCACAACCCCTGCCCCTCTCGACACTTTTATGTTACCACCGATGCCTCAGACTTTGCTATTGGAGCCGTCCTGTCCCAACACTTCCCTCGCGACATCTCGGACCCGCCCTCCATTAAGGATTTCCCCACCCACTCCGAGGCTCCACCGGGCGAGTATCCTATCGCATTTGCGAGCAAGAAGCTCATCCCCGTGGAGATGAACTATCCCTCCAATGAGAAGGAACTCCTCGCCGTCATCCATGCACTCAAAGTCAGGCGCCCATACCTCGACGATCAGCACTTCACTATCCGCACATACAACACCATCGTCTCAAGCATACTCACCAAGAAAGATATCACACCCCGTCAAGCTCGATGGTTAGACTTTCTCTCCCAGTTTGCATTTACCATTTGTCACACCC